TTTGAAAGTGATGAACTGACCTCCTCCTTCCACTAATATCACCTAATCTTCTTTCGCCGTTTCTTTTGCAAAAGCGTAACACTTCTTAACCTGATTTTTTACATATGTTAAAGGGGGATAAATTTTACATAACATGACAAAAAATTAGATTGATATATTTTGATACACTGGCGTTGTGTTGCTTCAAACTTTGCTTCTCGGGTGCAACGCGCCATGACGATTCGCGCAATGCGTCGCAAATGCGGCAACCGCATGTAAACAAATTTATTGAAGTTAGTTGTATGGTTTTTTCTCCGTTTTTCTCTCTAAAACAAAACAAGGTAAACAGTAAATACTGAGGGGAAACTAATTTTGATATGTCGAAGAAACAGAAAGACGTATGAGATGTTTTTTTCAAAATAAAAGGAAGGATGATGGTGATTGAAATTAGTATAATTTCACCTTGCACGAGCTGAACGCATTTATAAAATACACGTCATCTAGTTATGAAACACGATCTGTTGTCTTTTAGTTTGCCATGGATGACATGGATGAGATTTTCCTTAGTTGTTTTTGTAATTTTGGAACAACATCGACATTGGCAAGTAGTAGAACGAAAATATAATTCAGTGGTAGAGTCACGGAAGTAATAAAAGAAACCCTTTGAAAGAGATGTTTGTCTCCTCCAACTAAACCTCCTGCAAAAAGTGGCAACATTTGCCTCTCGGAGACAGCGTACCAGCACAAAGGAACGAGGAAGAAGTGCAAGAAAACAAATCAAGCTGCCATAATTCAATGACAGCGGCAGTGTGTAAAATGTACAAACCACATCGCAAGCCCTGAAAAACAAGCGACATTTCTAGCATAGTCCCAGTCCACTGCATCACGCCTTTTTGCGTTTCGCCGCCCAACCTTTATCCGCCCTGGTTTGTACTAATGGTAAACGCGATTCTGGGACGAAATTTACCAGTCCTGAACTTTGCGAACCATTTAACCACACCATGAACCGACCGGTTTGCCCTTGTAAATTGTAAACAACGAATAAAACGAAATGAAATAAGAAACGAAAAGAAAGACTAATACCTTGTAAGCCTGTTATAGATGCCACCTTAGAACAAGCTCGAAGAATTCTGACCGCCGAGCTCAGTAACGATCATACAACTTAAATAATAATGATAATAACAATAATAATAATAGTAATAATAATAACAATAACAATGATAATAATAATAATAACAATAACAATGATAATAATAATAGTAAAACTTTAATAGCGCCGATATCAATATTGCTATTTTCATCAGCACTTAAAAATAACAATATTTCGACAAAAAATTATCAAGACTGCTTAAAGTATACAAAGTGCATGAACCTACCAAAAAGAGTTAAAACAATTATGTCAACACTAAAACTATAAAAATTACCTAGACTACTTAAATCGTAAAAAACTGAATAAAACCTACTAAAAACGAGATTAAAAAGTACATAAAATTACAAAATAGCTTTCTGAAATAAAAATGTCTTAAGTGTCTTTTTAAAAGATATTACTGAAGGGCTACTCCCTAATCGCATAGGGCAATGAATTCCATAGTTGAGGAGGAGAAGCAGCAAAAGGTCGATCTCCTTACGTTGTTAAAGTCTTGAATTTCACAGGGTTTAGTCGCAGTCCATCACAATCGGAGCGTAACTTGTATTTACATGCTTCTTTAAGATTAATAAGTTCCTGGAGATAAAAGGCGCTAAGCCATTGACAACCTTTGAACGTTAACAATATCTTAAAGTCAATTCGGAATTTAACCGGCAGCCATTGCAGATTATACAGCAACGGTCTTAGAAGGCAGTATTTAGATTCCTGGAAAATTAACGCAGCGAGAGCATTTTGGACGCTCTGTAGCTTATTAAGCTGGTAGGCTGGCAGGCCATAGAGCAGGCTGTTACAATAGTCGACGCAACTTGAGACAAATGCGTGAATGAGCGTCTCAGTGGACCGTCTAGAAAGAGACTTCCTGATTCTTCCTATATTATACCTTCAAGTAAGAAAAAGTATTAGAACAAGAGTTATTTACATGAGAATTCATCGAAAGAGTGAAGTCTAACCATATCCCTAAGTTCTTAACAACCCCTTTTGGTCTAATTACACAGTCTCCAATTAAAATATGATCAATGTTAACCTTGGCTAGTTGTTGCTTGGTACCAATCATTAGGACTTCTAGTTTTCGTTAAACTAACGGTTTGAACACCTGACCAAAAAAGGCGCGAAAATTTACCCTACCGCGCGGGCCTGGGCTGACTAGCAGCTACAATTAAACCCACGAGGCTCTACCTTAAACCCAAACCGACTAACCTGAGATCAGGCCCAGTTTTAGCGGTTCTCATACATTCTCTCTAACGGCTACCGCTAAAATTGGGCCTGATACAAACTCTCTCACGTTTTTGCTTGTTACGGCCAGATTTTGGCCGTAACGCTGATTGGCTGATGGAACAATGCTACAAGATCTGATTGGCAAGATCTGAGGGTTTGTATCAGGCGAAACGACAATTGAGCCTGATCTCAGGTTACAAACCGACAGGAACTGCGATGTAGGTAACAATCAAAGTCAGCGATATTCCCAAACGTACTCACTTCAAGGGCTGACAAACAAACTTCATTAAACCAGAAGCTAAATGACACTTATGTCCACAAACCCATCAAAAATGGTAATATTACTCAAAAAACCTGTTAATACAAATACGGATTAACCTTTATTTTCAAACCTAAACATAATGAAACCCTCAAGAACAAATAAACTATCAGCAAAAATTCTCATGATAATGATTTTTAAAACAATCACAAAACTACTTCACAACAAACGAATATTGCAAGCCATAACAGAAAGAAAGAAAGAAAAAAAAGAAATTTTTCTTTTAGAAAGAAAAATGGTTAAACTCGTAGAGCTCGATTTTGCATTCAACTTAAAGTCTCTTTTTCTCCGCTATGACGGCTGAAAAAGCATGATCTGCTTGGCGCGACTGGCACAGATTCTCGCGGTTTCAATGTGCAACACCCGATCACGTGCAAGTCTTAAGTTCGCAAGGAACATGGTTAGTCTTAATTGGCCCACTGGGGGATTTTACCTAATATTTATCAATGCGCATGAATTTTTTTCGTTGGCGGCCATTTTGAATTTTGCGATCTAAAGCCCCATGCAAACGGACGCAACATTGTTGGGCCAACAACTCCCAGCATTGTTGGCCCAACAATGTTGGGAGTTGTTGCGTCCGGTTTCACGGACACAACATGCAATATCCAACAATTTTGCTTCCCTTTGCACGTAGCATAAGTAGTTTTATAAAATAACTGAGAGGGTACCCGCGCTCTGATTGACCGAGAGGAGTGTTTGCATGAGATATGTAAACGTGGTTGTGGCATCAAGATGTTTTGCTTTTCGCGCGCTAATCACGCAAGCACAAATTTGAAAAAGTTTTCGAGTTCAAAACTCGACAAGTTTAATTTATTTACCCATTCCTCCGTCGGCTGAAACTTGGAAAATCGTTACAAAGAAGGTGTGTCGACAGTTATGCAAACCCTCGACTTCGTCTCGGGTTTGCATAACTGTCTCGAATTCTTCCAACCCCTCGAGTGTTTATATCAGGCTATCCAAGCACGGAAAACGTTTTCTATTGCTTAAATATTATTTTGACACATAGTACTTGACACATTCTTGTCCAATTAAAAAAACTTGCTGGAGTTGGGAGGTAAAACCGATCATTTAAAATTTAGATTGATAACTGTTAACAGCTATCTTTGATTCATTTCTCCGCATTGGTCACAGGGGAAAAGATTTATAAGCTTTAACCAGCTTATTGTCCTTATTGTTTAACAGTTTGTTTTGACTATTCCAGTTAATTCGGTTATATCACTTTCTGTGACCTTGGACGACATTCTGGTATTAAATATTAAAATTATTCATTATTTAGAGAATTCTGACCAATCAAAGATGTCTAAAGAACCTCGTGATAACCACAAGGGAAAATATTTGTTAATAAGTAATTTTATGTTTCTAGGAATTGCTTGAATTACGATCGTCCTTTTCCGCGGGACATTTTCTTGGAAAGTGTCTCAGAAGCTTTGGGGTTTTACATTTTTTGTTGATAAACTGTTGATGAACGTTTCCTTACTGTTAGTAACATCTTGGATATCCAGGGTACAGGGAAGGCACCTTGAGCGTTCGTAACTATAAATCAGGATAAGGGACACGCTTCCTGCGTTCGATCTACCTCGCAATCGCATGTATTTCTTGTTTTTGTTTTTTTTTAATACATTCATGTTCTACGGCTTGAGACCTGTTTAAAACTAAGCGGACCCAAATAAAAAGGAGCCCAGCCTTTTATTACGGCTAGCCTGCGAGCAATTACAAGCTCTTCATTTCTAGTGAGCCTCAGAAAGTTACAAACGTTTCCTTCATATTATTATTGAGTTTGAGCGAACTGTATCTTCCAAGGTCATTAAGCCGTGTAGGTCTCCATGAAGGTTTATGAGAAATAGGAAATTTAATTTAGTGAGGGAGTGACTCAAATGTAAACAAGTTTGAAAAAAGTGTTATGACTTACAACGTATTTACAGTTGGACGTTTCTCAGAAAACCAATGAAGCTCAATGACGCACCCGCGGCTGTAAAACATACCGTACTTATTTATAAGCGAATAGACGGGAATTCGACACGATATGAGACAGCATGGCCGAGTTATAACTACGGTTAATGAGTTTATAGATTGAAATGGAGTCAGAAAACTTGTCTCGATATAAAAGACAGTAAAATCCGACTAAAACGAGCGGCTTAAAAATACTAATAATAACTGATGATAAATTGAAATGGAGAAGAAAATTTCTAGTTTCCAGACTATATGGGGTGACTCCATATTGATAAAAGGAATACAGTCTCACAGTTTGTTTGAGAATAAAAGTGACTTTCAATTGCACATTTCACAATTTAATTTCAAACTTAAGTTGAACAATTTAAATTACAAACACACATTTCGTTTCGCGAGTGAATTAAGGTCTGTAAATTCCCAGCATTTAGCAATTTTGAGAGGTACATTTAAAAAACTCATTTTAGAAGCACTAACCGGCCCCTTGCCAGCAGCTGCAGCGGTCGCTACGCTTAATTGGCTTCTAGATTTCCCTCAATTTCTTACACCGTCAGGAAATCAAGGAATTGAACTGTGAATTACTCTTTCGGCGTTCTCTTTTAAACGCCAGTTTGAACGGTACAGTTTTGGCCCATGCAACGTCCCAACGATAAGCTTACGGCAAGAGTGGTCTCGTTTCCATAAAAACTATGACAATAGCCAAAGTTGTAGGTGACTGGCGTGGCTCCTGACGACTAAGCTTATTTTGGGAAAGCTCGTTGCATGGGACAAAGTTGTATCGAGAGAAGCGGACTTTTTAAAGCATTATTACTTGCCTATACCGCCAAATGGTGAAATGCTAGAACGGGACAAATTTTCGTCAGTATTTAGTGTCGTGTTCAAACATCACTCTATGTTGACAATCTTGACCTCTGCTACCTAGCTGATTTTCCCTTCTAGATTCGTGCCAATATCGGTGAATTTTCGCATTTTGTGCAAAATGTTCACAATATTCTTTTGGTTGAACTAAAAGTGTTTCTTTGAAATATTAGGTTACATTATGAAGTTAACATACTATCAAGACTTTCGTCTTATTCGGTTCGCAACGTAATTGGCGGCAAAGCTATCCTAAGCTAAACTAGACCGAAGTATGGAAAATGAGGTGCTACAACTTTATTCCTCTAATGTAAGTCCCATGAACTGTATCAAAAGCTCTAGTTTGTACATGAAAAGGCTCTACGAAAGCCTATAATAAGACACTTCTTCGGTTAATTTCTGACAACCTGAGACGAACCCATGTGCGATGCTTTCTAGGAATTTTATCCGGATGATTAGGTTTCTGCTTTTCTCGGAAATAGGTAGATTAACGTAGTAACTTGAATTCTCATAAAATGAAGGAAACTTGAAGACGTATTTTAGAAATCATAGCTGACATGCAATAAGGAAAAAATTTGCTGTTAGCACCCGCTTATATTAAAGTCACCAACAGCTATTGTTGCCTGTAAAGAAATTGCTTAAATCATGAGCTAAATAAAGTTGAAATGACACGGCATTATTGATGCCTCTGTGACAAACATATCTCAGTTACCCTATTTTTCATCGCAAACTCACTCCAAACAGTGCCGGTTTTAAGAGTCAGCGCCCTACGTCGAGTTCATTTTTCAGAAACACGTTGACTCTGTCTGTTATCACTTACGCGAGGAAAGAATTAAGGAACAGTTGTATCGCTCCAAGACATGCATTATTTTCGCTCAGTGAAGCTACTAAACCCTACTTACCCATCGATAGATATCTATAGTAAAAATGATGGAGAAAGACTATTAAAACTCCACCTGAACTGCAACATTGATTAGTTGAAACATCTACTGTAGAAGATCTCACAGTTGTGTCAGTTTTTTCCACATTTCGATAAATGCTCGGACGCAATCGGGGCTATGCCAATCATCCAGTTTTCCATCCCTCTCCATCTGATCTACTGCGAAACGTATTAGCTCCTCATTTAGGTCAGGATGAGCGGCGGTATTTCTGCTGTCCTGGATTGACTTCATTGCCCTGACGTGGATTTTCTCTTGCCACTTCAACTTCTTCCTCAGGTCGTCATATCTACGCCTCGCTTCTTGTTGTTCCTCATCATTTAAATCCTTGATATCCTCTTGTATATGCTTTATTTTGTAACTCTTTCGAGGTACGTACAGTTTTGGTAGAACCTGCTTGTACATCATGATTTGAATTTGCCTGCACATCTCGCCAAGGATAATCGTGGACCACTCTTCTAGGTCATTAGCAGGTAAAGCAAGTCGTTCAGCTGAAACCATTGATGGCGGCAGCCTGCGTTGAAACGTTTCTTTGAGGTCTTTGAGCTCCTTTTTAAGAGTCGTATTTTCACCCTTTACGCCATCGATTCTCTTTGACAATCTTTCCTCATTCGCTTGCAGCATGATGATTCTTTCCTCTTGACTCTTGTTGGCCTCTTTTAACTCCTCAACTTCCCCTTTCACATCTTCTAATTCTCCTTCGACTGATCTCAACTTCTTCTCCAAAGTCTTCTTTTCGGTTTCCAGTTTGTCGATTTTTTCCTTTAAGCTCTTGATTTCCTTGTCTTTCAAGTCCACCGTCAGTGTAAGGTCGTCGTTTTTCTCCGTAAGCTGTTGAATGGCGTCCCTTAGCTTTGATATTTCTTCTTCCTTTTCTTGTATTTCTTTCTTGAGGAAAGCGATTTCACCGCTGTGGCTAACGATAACGTTCGGATCGATCGCTCTCGCTCTTCCGATCGCAGTTAATACATTTAGTTGTAACTGTCCCGCGTTAGGTGACATATCCTCGCGAATTCCTTCTAACTGCTTAAATGAAGACATTGCTATTCAAAGTTGGCAAATTTTTCGACGACGGTGAAACAAAAATGTCAAAGGAAACTGTTAGCACATGATAAGTGGAGGACGATGAACTAACGAAGGCGTTTTTATAGATCGATAGGAATACGTTATTAATGACGTGTCATCATGAACTGCGCATGACAGAATCGATCGATCCACTAACAAAGACCGGAGACTAAGGGGTGTAAAATTTCCACTGTGAGGGTAAAAGGCGGAATGAGTTTGCGGAATGGCATGTGGCATGGTTTGCGGAATGACATAATTATTCGAAATGTAAAATATGTAAAAAGGGCAAAGAAATAAATTAAACTGAAAACCATGCGCGCGTCTTTGCCGTGCCTTTTTTTGGCGCCAGTTTAAGTGAGCAACGGTTTTGCTGGTCCATTTATTACTACTGGCTCAAACCAACAAGGCAGAGCAGAAAGTAGCGATAAGCTTTACTGCATTCCTGTCTATGTAATACTTAATTAATACCGAATTTATTTTTGGTCTTTTCCACAATACTTTCTCTCTTTCTGCCCACCATTATAATATAGTCAAATATCAAAAGGCTGAAGGGAAAAGAACGGTTGTTGAACGTAAAGAGGGGCTCGCTTCAATTCTAGGGAATATTAATTAATACGGTGGACAAATCAGATCATATTTGAGGCTAAATGAACGCTCCGAGTCAAACATTAATCTGTAATCCAGAAATCGAGTGAAGCGAACTGCTCTCTGTCTCCTTTCGGCCTTTCCGCGTGTCTTCGCACCTTCTTTGTTTGTGTGAGTGTGTGCGTTTGATCGTGAAAAAACGCTAAAACGGGAGGAAGGGGAAAAAGGAAAAACAGATACACACTCAATTGCCAGGATTTGACCTCGCCTTTCTTCGCCAGCTGTTAGCTGTTCGCCGAGTTGGAAACTTAACCACGCAGCCAAGGAAACAAAATTCAAGATCATTTCTATCTTCTCACGTGGTTTTAAATACAAATATAGGTAAAAGGAAACTGTTAAGTTAATCGTGCAAATAACTTTTGCAGAAAAAAATTAGAGTAGAGGGGACCTGGAAGGGAGCGTGACCTCCCAAAACATCTTTTCTTCAATGGCCGACTTTCGTGCTGTAGTATCGGTGCTTCCATGCAGTCCGATTAAATAAGGAAAGAAGAATCTTTGTGACTGTGTAGAAAAGGTTAATCGACAACACAATGGGCCCTCGTAGCTTTTTTATTGTCATCGAATGTCGAGCCCGAAACATTAACACAGCGGCTGCGTTTGCAAATTGATTGGCGCAAAAAAAGGAGGCACTTTTCAGTTTAATTTATTTCTTTGGGTCATTCTGCGTATATTACATTCCGCATAATTACGTCATTCCCCAAGCCATGCCACATGCCATTCCGCAAACTCATTCCTCCTTTTACCCTCACCGCTTAGTCTCACAATGTCAACATCATTTGGTTACCATGCTAAGAAAATTGATAAACATCCAAACATAATAGCTGATCGTCTTGCGGTACTGAAAGTGTTTTTACAAGCCAGTGATGGTGTGTTACTTTTCTTTATATTATTTCTTATTCTATCCCTTTTCTATTTTTAAACATAAATGCCGAATGTGCAGCTAAGGATGCACTTTTCCTAGAAATATTATGCAAAACTGTCTGAATAACTGAATAATGTTTCTCGGAAAATGATGGCGTTCAGTTCCCCAAATATTAATTGATGCAAAGGAGAATTTTAGAATGCCTCAAGGCCAAATCATCCGTATAGAAAGAAAGGGATTAAAAATTAAAAATCTAGTTTTAAACAGAAACGGTTATCTGCGGATATGCAAAACTATAGGCACACTTTAACCAGAAATATTGTGGCAAAACTGTTGGAATAATATTCATTGGTACATTAATTAAACATGTTTCTCAGAATATCATAGTAACCTGTTGTGTCCTCCCTTTACTTTCCTATAAACAAATTGGAATGAATTTTTTCATTCCTAAATTTAACAAAGCGCTAAGAACTTTTTCACCGTTTCGGCTTATTTGTGCTAAAGATTTTGGACAAATGTTATGCTGTAGTAGTTTTCCTTTTTATCAGGAAAACAGAGGACTCAACTTCGACGAGTAGTCTGCCTTTATACAATGTATTAATTAGGCTTGTGACTCTGAATAATACATTTGATAATAATTCTGGAAAGTTGCGTGAATAAGACTTGACAGAGGAGACTCTGTCGACGAGAACCCTGAAAAAGAAAAAAGTGTAATTTTTTCCTGGAGGAATGATTCGTATAGTTCACTGACTACCCGTCTGTTTAACGTAATGTATGCGTGTGCCCTCGATATGCCTACAGCTGATGCTTTAATTTGTCAAAGGAAATTTGGTCGGAAAACTTGTCTTATAACATAGCGCGCGTGCTTGCCCTATATAAGTCCTATTGAGCCGCTATTAGTGAACAAAATCTTTATTTACGCACGCCCGTGCGTAAATAAGATGACGTAAGCATTTTTTTTTACCTGGCTGCAGAGTTGTCGTCTTTTAAGCTGCAGTGCAGTTTTCCTTCTCTTTAAAATATGGAAGAAACCAGCGAAGAACTGCCCAATTTTTCTATCGGCATTGACCTTTTAGGTCCTGATCCAACAAGCAGCAAAAATAGAGCCGAATTAAAACAAACTCACTTGTTGCGCGTTTCGCAAATTTGTCGGAAGACCAGCTGCAGCACATTTTGGCCGAAAAACATTCACTGGGAACAGAACAGACACCAACTGGTCATCAACAACATTAAGAGGTTAAATTTTCGTTTTTATTGTTGTTTTTAAATTTGTTATGCACTTTTGTTATCTCTGGACAATCCGACTGAGGCAGGAAGATTTCACTCGCAATAACAACACAAATTACACAAGAAGACATAAATTTATTACTCACAAAAACAACTGCTGCCAGGTCTTCTCAAGAAGCCGTAATGACCAGCCAATGTTTGTAAATGAATATGAGTTTAAAGAAGGATGACAGTCGTCTTCACTAAAAACATGTTTTCTGGATTTCGCCGAGCAAAACGTAAACATCTTTTCAGCAAATCCAAACCATACTCCACGACTTCTTACGAACATGTTAGTATTTTAACTTTAGGTGAACTTTAAGACTCTTTTACCTTTGTTTCTGCTTAGTTTCCATTGATCGTTAACGAATAAAGAAGCAAATTTTCTTTCTCAGTTTTACAGAAAAGCTACAGAAAGAATATTTTCATTCAAACTAGATGATTGTGGTGTGTTCGTAATCAGCCAATAGAAGCGTTTGTTATTGTGTAGCGCGTTACGAGAATTTTGTAGTTAATCAAAAAGCAAGCATTTTTGTCAGCTATGTTATAAAAGAATTTGCTCATGCTTTTAGCTGTGCGTATATCGAGTTATGGATGCACTTGGGAAGTTTGGAGAGCACTCAAGAAGCTAGAGTTGCACTCGGCTATCGCCTCGTGCAACTCTTACGCATCTTTCGTGCTCTCCAAACTTCCCGCGTGCATCCATAACTCGATATACGCACGCTAAGCATGAACAAATTCTTAATTGATAAAAGACAGTAAAATCCAACTAAAACGCGCGGCTTAAAAATACTAATAATAACTGATGATAAATTAAAATGGAGAAGAAAATTTCTAGTTTTTAGACTATATGGGGTGACTCCATATTGATAAAAGGAATACAGTCTCATAGTTTGTTTCAGAATAAAATGTGACTTTCAATTACATATTTCACAGTTTATTTTCAAACTTAAGTTGAACAATTTAAAATTACATAGACACATTTCGTTTCGCGAGTGAATTGAGGTCTGTAAACTCCGAGCATTAAGCGATTTTGAGAGGTATATTTTAAAAACTCATTTTAGAAGCACTAACTGCCCCTCGCCAGCAGCTGCGGCGGTCGCTACGCTTAATTCGCTTGTAGATTTCCCTCAATTTCTTACAGCATCAGGAAATCAAGGAACTGTGAATTACTCTTTCGGCGTTCTCTTTTAAACGCCAGTTTGTACGGTACGGTTTTGGCGCATGCAATGTCCCAACGATAAGCTTACAACAAGAGTGGTCTCGTTTCCATAAAACCTTTAACGATAGTCAAAGTTGTAGGTGACTGGCGTGGCTCCGGCTTACGACTAAGCTTACAGTGTTTTGGGAAAGCTCATTGCATGGGATAAAGTTGTATCGAGTGAAGCGGACTTTTAAAGCATTATTACTTGCCTACCGCCAAATGGTGAAATGCTAGAACAAGACAAATTTTCGTCAGTAGTTAGTGTCGTGTTCAAACATCAGTCTTTGTTGACAATCTTGACCTCTGCTACCTAGCTGATTTTCCCTTCTAGATTCGTGCCAGTATCGGTGAATTTTCGCATTCTGCGCAAAATGTTCACAATATTCTTTTGGTTGAACTCTGAAGTGTTTCTTTGAAATATTAGGCTACATTATTAAGTTAACACACTATCAAGACTTTCGTCTTATTCGGTTCGCAACGTAATTGGCGGCAAACCCATCCTAAGCTATCCTAGACCGAAGTATGGAAAATGAGATGCTACAACTTTATTCCTCTACTCTAAGTCCCTTGAGCTGTACCAAAAGCTCTAGTTTAAACACGAAAAGGGTCTACGAAAGCCTATAATAAGAAACTTCTTCGGTTAATTTCTGACAACCTGTGAGGACCCCATGTGCGATGCTTTCTAGGAATTTTATCCGGAAGATTAGGTTTCTGCTTTTCTCGGAAAT